AAAAATCGTTACCCGTTGCCATTGGTACCAGAATTGTTTCAGAGCCTAAAGGCTGCGGTTATAGTCACAAAACTTGATTTAAGGGGGGCCTATAACCTGGTACGCATAAGAGAGGGGGACGAGTGGAAAACGGCATTCCGTACCCGGTTTGGCCATTTTGAATACCTGGTCATGCCATTTGGGCTGTGCAATGCACCAGCCACCTTCCAACATTTCGTGAACGACATCTTCAGGGATTTTTTGGATATCTTTGTTATTGTCTATCTGGGACGGCATACTGATTTTTTTTCACCCTCCCTGGAGGATCATAGGATGCATGTGGCAAAGGTATTGGGGCGGTTGCGGCCGCATGGGTTATATGCCAAGGCGGATAAATGTTGCTTCGAACAATCCAGCATTACGTTTCTAGGCCTGATTATCTCCACCGCGGGGGTCGCGATGGACCCCCAGAAGGTCTCTGCAATTTTAGATTGGCCTGAACCCACGGACAAAAAAAAGCGTCCAGCGGTTTATTGGGTTCGCAAACTTTTATCGAAAGTTCATCAAGAACTTCTCGGGTCTGGTCTCCCCCATTACTCAATTAACCAAACTTGGAACCCGGTTCAAATGGACACCGGAGGCTCAGGAAGCCTTCGAAGCTCTGAAAAAGCTATTCACCTCGGCACCCCATTCTGGGCCATCCGGACGCGGCCCTGCCCTACATCTTGGAGGTAGATGCATCGGAGAATGCGGTAGGATCCATCCTGTCCCAGCGGAAGGGCACCATAGAATTACTTCATCCCGTAGCATTCTTCTCGAGGAAACTCACCCCAGCGGAGAAGAATTACGATATCGGCGATCGAGAGCTGTTTGCTATCAAAGCAGTGTTAGAGGAATGGAGGTACCTGCTGGAAGGTGCCTCACACCCCATATTGATTTTCACAGATCATAAGAATCTGGAGTATCTGAGGACCGCCAAGCGTTTACGCCCACGACAGGCGAGATGGGCCTTGTTCTTCTCCAGGTTTAATTTTCATATTACCGTATATTTTTCGCCGTATAAGACGCACTTTTTCTTCCCCAAAACTGGGGGGGAAATGTCAGTGCGTCTTATGGAGCAAATATGGAGCGGCCGGTCCGGTATTTCCACCGCGGCCGTGTCAGAATACCGGGCCGGCTGCTCAGCTCTGCAGTGGGACCTTACCTGTTCCTCTATCCAGCGGCGTGCTGTCTTCCCGGCTTCTGTAGTGTGGGCACTGGGCATGACAGCCGGGTGCCAAGTGCGCATGCGCAAGAAGCGGTGCTTTTTGTGAATGGTAAGGCGGTACCTGGGACACATGACAGATCCCAGAAGCCGCCGGACCAATCACAAAGTGCAAGTGCTTCTCGCTCATGCGCACTGGGCACCCGGCTGTCATGCCGAGCGCCATTACAGAAGCCGGGAAGACAGCCCACGGCTGGATCGAGGAACAGGTAAGATCAAACAAAAACTCTGCGGAAGTAAGAGCGGGTACCTGTCAAATTCAGGTACCCGTTCCCCACCTCCCCAAAGGTCAGCAGTCATCTGTGCTGTCCGCAGTCTCTGGTCATCCCTGTGCTGTCCGCAGTCTCTGGTCATCCCTGTGCTGTCCGCAGTCTCTGGTCATCCCTGTGCTGTCTGTAGTCTCTGGTCATCTCCTGTACTGTGTCTGCAGTCCATTAGTTCAGAATTTTTTTTTTCCTGTTTTCTGCCTCTAAAACCTAGGTGCGTCTTATGGTCAGGTGCGTCTTTTATACGGCGCAAAATACGGTACTTACAGGCCCGGATCTAAAATATGAAGCCCGACACGTTATCCCGTATGTATGAGGACTCCGAAGAAGAAAACTTGTACCCGACACTATCCTGTCTTCGGGGAACTTCTTGGCGCTCCAGACGGACCTTCGCTCCAAGCTAATGGAAGCATCTACGGCCACGTCAACCCCAGTTGGGGTATCCCTCCAGAACAAGGGGGGACTCCTATGGAAGGAAAATTTAATCGTGGTACCTGAGGAAGTCCGGACCCTGGTTTTGGGGCATTGCCATGATCACCCGCTGGCAGGACACTTTGGCCCAGTCAAGACTCTGGAGCTTCTCCGGCACTCTTTTTGGTGGCCAAACATGGCTAAGGATTGCAAGCGCTATGTGAGATCCTGTACCATCTGCCAGAAGAGCAAACCATCGAGGAGCAAAGCTTGGGGGCTGTTGCAGCCTTTGCCGATTCCCGAACGGCCTTGGCAGAGGATCGTGATGGACTTCATAGTCGAGCTCCCACCGTCGCAAGACCACACAGCAATTCTTGTGGTTGTTGATCGCTTATCCCAAAATGGCTCACTTCGTACCACTAAGGAAGACTTCGTCAGCAGCCGAGACGGCGCGAATATTTATCCGGGAGATCGTTAGACTACATGGAGTACCTGAGGACATTGTCTCTGATCGAGGGGTCCAATTTACGTCTAAATTTTGGAGGGCTCTGTGCAAGGCCCTGGACATCAAGTTGTCCCTCTCCTCTGCGTTCCACCCTCAGACCAACGGTCCGACCGAGAGGACTAACCAGACCCTGGAGCAATACTTGCATTGCTACACGTCTTTCCTGCAGGATGATTGGTTGCCACTCTTACCCCTGGCGGAGTTTGCTTATAACAACGCAAGCCATTCTGCAACGGGGCAGTCCCCATTCTTTTCTAATTATGGGTTTCACCCTGTGTTTCTCCCTGATTTGGTCTCTGAATGCCCAGTTCCGGCAACGCAGGATGCATTAACCTTTCAGTCACCCAGACGATCCATCCATCCATTCCGCTAACAACAAAGTACTCCAAGAAGCCATCGCTCGGGCCCAAGAGGACAATAAGAATGCGTTTAACAAGAAACGAAGAGGGGATCTGGCGTTGCGGCCTGGGCAGAAGGTGTGGTTGGTGTTAGGAATGGACTGGCCAGCAATGGTGGGACTCACCTGCCTTTTGATCTGCAGTACCAGGGCTGGCCAGCGGGTGCTCCCAGCAATCAGAGACTCAACCTTTCAGCCAGCTAACACCTGGAACTGATGATGCTGGGGTATTTAAGGGATGGCCAGACCCACAGACTCTGCCTTGGTGTTGTGTTTGTCCTGGGCCCTGTATCTGTCCTGCATCCTGTTTCTGTCCCTCTGCCTGACCCTCTGTACTACGCTGCTTGTTACCTGTTTTGATCTCTGGCTTGTGACCCTGACCATCCCTCTGCCTGACCCTCTGTACTACGCTGCTTGCTACCTGCTGAACCTGGCCTGTGACCCCGACCATTCTCTGCTTGCTCCCCCTGTACCTACCTGCCCAATTGATATTGACCCGGCCTGCCTGACGACGCTTGCTTGTATGTACTGTTATCTGTGGGTGGTTTGGTTTGTTTGCACTGTATTATGTTTAGTATTGCACTGCGTTTATGTTTGTATGGTTAGTGTTAATAAATTGTATTGTTTATCACATATCTGAAGTCTGCGTTTCCCTGCATCAGTCACACACCTCTGGTCATACCTGGGAGCCCTGACATTACACCAAGGCCAATCCTGACCAGAAGTGGCTGCACAGGGAAGCCATCTTGGCTTGTTGATGGGAAAGGATGGATCTGGATGAGGTTGTGTATTTATATCTGCTAGTGTTTGATGACAGGGAGTATGCTTATCAAACTCTGAAGGAGTATACCCGGGATTTGAACTGCTAGAATGTATACGGCTCGCTCATGTTCTAGTAGATCAGGGCACAGAGTTCTCTGAGGTGCAGCCTTTGATTGAGGTTTGTGCTGAGTTGGTTTCATCTGGTTCCCCCGAATGCAGGGATGAATTTTTTGCCACCATTTAGTGCAGACCAGGTAGAGTCCCTGGTGTGGTTATTAGAGGATGATGTGGGTTACTTTCTGGAGCGTTATTCCACATGTTCACCACAGACACTAAGAGATTGTATAAACGCAGTACAGTCATTGACCAGACAGGCTTTGTGTAAGCTCAGCTTTGTTCAACCCATACTGCAGACATGGACATAGATTTGTTGCACCCCAGCCTCAGTCAGCTTACAAAGACCCAGTCCTGCTTCTAATCTATTTCCTCAAAACTCTATTCCTGCATTCCCAACAGCTGCTCCTCCTGCCCTGCTATCTACCGCATGTCAGTACCCTGTTCCCACTCGCTGCACCTATCCTGCCTTTTAAACCTGTAAAAGAGCCCTCTGTAGCAACCGCTCCCTCTCCTGTTCCATCCTCCAGTTCTTCTCTGTCTCCAGCTGCTCCATTCGTTGCAGACCTGCGTTTACTTGCAGTGCTCCAGTAGTTAAAACCAGAAAAAAAGCGAAAATTCTTTCCAACCAATACCATCCTGCCAGTATCCAAACCGGTGAGCCTGCCTTCCGTGGTTCAGCCTGAAGCCTCTACTCAGCCTGAAGCCTCTACTCAGCCTGAAGCCTCTACTCAGCCTGAAGCCTCTACTCAGCATGATGCCTCTACTCAGCATGAAGCCTCTACTCAGCCTGATGCCTCTACTCAGCCTGATGCCTCTACTCAGCCTGATGCCTCTACTCAGCCTGATGCCTCTACTCAGCCTGATGCCTCTCTTCAGCTTGATGCCGGTACGCAGCCTGATGCCTCTCTTCAGCCTGATGCCTGTATCGGGCCTGATGCCTCTCTTCAGCCTGAAGCCTCTACTCGGCCTGAAGCCTCTACTCGGCCTGAAGCCTCTACTCGGCGATGCCTGATGCCTCTACTCGGCCTGAAGCCTCTACTCGGCCTGAAGCCTCTACTCGGCCTGATGCCTCTACTCGGCCTGATGCCTCTACTCGGCCTGATGCCTCTACTCGGCCTGATGCCTCTACTCGGCCTGAAGCCTCTACTCGGCCTGAAGCCTCTACTCGGCCTGAAGCCTCTACTCGGCCTGAAGCCTCTACTCAGCCGGACGCCGGCATTCAGCCTGATGCCTCTACCCAGCATGATGAACTGATCCAGCCTGACGATCCTATTAGGCCAGTTGACTCGATGCCCGCTGTTGATCCCAGATGATCCCGTACCTGATCCGGTGCCCGCTGTCGAGCCAAATGACCTGATGCCTGGTGACCCAGTGCCCGCTGTCATACCTGGTGACCCGATGCCCGCTGTCGAGCCAGACAATCCGGTACCTGATGACCCGGTGCTCACTGTCGTGCCTGTTGACTCGGAGCCCACTGCCTTGCCAGATGACGCGGTGCCCGCTGTCGAGCCAAATGACCTGATGCCTGGTGACCCAGTGCCCGCTGTCCAGCCAGACGATCCAATGTCTGACCCAGTGCCCGCGGTCATACCAGTTGACTCGGAGCCCACTGCCTTGCCAGATGACGCGGTGCCCGCTGTCGAGCCAAATGACATGATGCCTGGTGACCCGATGCCCGCTGTCCAGCCAGACGATCCAATGTCTGACCCAGTGCCAGCGTCATCCCAGTTGACTCGGAGCCCACGGTTGTGCCTGGTGACTTGGTGCCCGCCACCCCCGCCTGGGGGCCTGAGACCTGTCGTTCCGCCTGGGGGTCCGGCGCCCGCCGCTCCGCCTGGGGGTCCGGCGCCCGCCGCTCTGCCTGGGGGTCCGGCGCCCGCCGCTCCCGCCTGGGGGTCCGGCGCCCGCCGCTCCGCCTGGGGCCCGAGACCTGTCGCTCCTCCTGGGGGTCCGGCGCCCGCCGCTCTGCCCCGAGGGCCCGAGACCTGTCGCCCCGCCCCCGGGGGCCCGGTGCCTGCCGCCCCGCCCGGGGGCCGGGTGCCTGCTGCTCCGCCCCGGGGGCCCGGTGCCTGCTGCCCCGCCCGGGGGCCCGGTGCCTGCTGCTCCGCCCGGGGGCCCGGTGCCTGCTGCTCCGCCCGGGGGCCCGGTGCCTGCTGCTCCGCCCGGGGGCCCGGTGCCTGCTGCTCCGCCCGGTGGCCCGCTGCCTGCTGCTTCGCCTGGTAATCCGATGTGCCTCTGCCTGGAGTCCTGCCCGATGTGCCTCTGCCCGGAGTCCTGCCCGATGTGCCTCTGCCCGGAGTCCTGCCCGATGTGCCTCTGCCCGGAGTCCTGCCCGATGTGCCTCTGCCCGGAGTACTGCCCGATGTGCCTCTGCCCGGAGTCCTGCCCGATGTGCCTCTGCCCGATGTGCCTCTGCCCGGTGTGCCTCTGCCCGGTGTGCCTCTGCCCGGTGTGCCTCTGCTCGATGTGCCTCTGCCCGGAGTCCAGCCCGGTGTGCCTCTGCCCGGAGTCCAGCCCGGTGTGCCGCTGCCCGGAGTCCTGCCCGGTGTGCCAGTCTTCGATATCCCGCCAGTTACCAGACCCGGGCGGTGGAACATTTTGCCCAGCTAGGACTGTTTGGAGCGTCCTGAGGCCGCTCCTTGGGGGGGGGGGGGGGTACTGTTAGAAATGGACTGGCCAGCAATGGTGGGACTCACCTGCCTTTTGATCTGCAGTACCAGGGCTGGCCAGCGGGTGCTCCCAGCAATCAGAGACTCAACCTTTCAGCCAGCTAACACCTGGAACTGATGATGCTGGGGTATTTAAGGATGGCCAGACCCACAGACTCTGCCTTGGTGTTGTGTTTGTCCTGGGCCCTGTATCTGTCCTGCATCCTGTTTCTGTCCCTCTGCCTACCCTCTGTACTACGCTGCTTGTTACCTGTTTTGATCTCTGGCTTGTGACCCTGACCATCCCTCTGCCTGACCCTCTGTACTACGCTGCTTGCTACCTGCTGAACCTGGCCTGTGACCCCGACCATTCTCTGCTTGCTCCCCCTGTACCTACCTGCCCAATATTGATATTGACCCGGCCTGCCTGACGACGCTTGCTTGTATGTACTGTTATCTGTGGGTGGTTTGGTTTGTTTGCACTGTATTATGTTTAGTATTGCACTGCGTTTATGTTTGTATGGTTAGTGTTAATAAATTGTATTGTTTATCACATATCTGAAGTCTGCGTTTCCCTGCATCAGTCACACACCTCTGGTCATACCTGGGAGCCCTGACAGTTGGCCACAACCAATTTAAAGATGCTCTGTCCTTCGAAAAAATTGGGACCTAAATTTGTGGGGCCTTTTCGGGTAAAGCGGATGGTCAACGAGGTAGCATATGAGCTTATCCTTCCTGACACATTCAAAATTCATCCGGTCTTCCACGTGTCCTTGCTGAAACCAGTGATCCCAGATGCCTTCCCAGAACGAGAATCCAGACCTCCGGAGGCCATAACTGTCAAAGGACAAGAGGAATTTGAGGTGGAAACAATCCTTAAGTGCCGAAGAAGGGGGGGCCAGACCCAATTCCTAATTAAATGGAAGGGTTATGGTCCAGAGGACAATTCCTGGGAACCGGCTCATAATGTCCACGCACCCAGACTAGTCCGGGAGTTTCTTCGCGATCACCCGTGGTGGAGAGATCGGGTGGGCATCCGGAGGTTGCCCGTAGGGGGGGGGGCAATGTCGGGGATCGCCGCGGCGCTGGGCTCGGCGCAGGCGCAGTGCACCGCCCTGTGCAGGGACGCGGGCGCCGGGACCTGGCGGCAATCAAGTTCGCGCATGCGCAGTAGAGACCGCGGGGCGCGTGCCTGGCACCAATGACAGCGCAGGGCGGGATATTTAAACGGCCCTGAGCTGTCATTCAGTGCCTTCTGGTCTCTTTGTATCCTGTGAACCTGTTAAAGTAAGTTGCTGACCCGGATTGTGCCCTGACCTTGCTGCTTTCTCCTGTTCTTGACCCTTGCTTGCCTGACCTCTCTCCTGAATGCCCCCTGTTGGATCTGACCTGCTGTTGCTGACCTGGCGTGTGACCCGACTATTCTTTGCCCGCTGCTCTGTACCGCACCGTCCCCATAGTTACCGACCCGGCTTGTCTGACCTTGCACTTGCTCAGCCATCCATCCATCCATCCCTCTCAACGGGGTCTCCAGACCTCCTCATACCTGGCTCTCTCCCGTGGGAGCCCCTGGCGAATACCTCTACCACTGACGGGTGTCCTCAGTAGTCACGACCTGGTCCCGGGGTACTCCAAGTCCATCCCCACCATCAGGGGCTCTGGTGAACAAGTACTCTGGGGCTTAGACTCCGTGCGCTGGGAACGACCGATCAGTGGAGTGCTAGTGGTACCGCCGGGCGGTCCCTTACAGTAGTAAGTCCCTAAGAGTACTGAAGAAAGAGATGAGGGAGTATCAGCTGGTGGATGGTTGGAGAATTATGCACATGAACGATAGAGACTATTCCTTCTTCTCAAGGGCCCATGAGATGTATTCTAGACTGGACTACATACTGATAGATCACAGATTAATAGAGTCTTTGGTTAGAGTGACAATAAAGGTAATGTCACTCTCAGACCATGCCCCGGTTGTAATGAAAATAGGATGGGGAAGAAGGCCTCCAGGTGGTTCGACTTGGCGGTTGAATGAGGCTCTCTTTAATGGATCCAGAGACTGAGCGAATGATTGGAGAGGAAATTAAGAGATATTTTGAGGAAAATCAAATGGGAGAGATATCGGAGGCTACAGTGTGTGTCAGGGATCGGTGTCCCTGCCGAGATATGCCGGGCGGCGCATGCGCAGGACACCAATGCATTCCAATCAGCAGGCAGCGGGACCCGGGCGATCGCGATGGCCGCGCATGCGCACTCGCGATCACGGACGCGCGCCTGGCATCAATGACAGCACAGGGCGGGCTATTTAAACGGGGATAGAGGTATGTCAAATTGCCGTTTGGATTTTGTGCTCTGTTCCTGTTACCTGATCCTGTGTTACTCCGTTGCCGACCTCTGCATTGTACCTGACCCTGATTGTATCCTGCTTAACCCTTGGCTTGCCTGACCATTCTTCTGCCTGACCCTTTGTACCACGCTGTCCGCTAGTTACTGAACCCGGCTTGTGACCTCGACCATTCTCTGCCTGCTCCTACGGTATTTTGCTGCCCGCACGTTGCTGACCTGGCTCGCCTGACTACTCTTTCAGTCACCCAGACGATCCATCCATCCCGCATGGATCACTATTAGTAAGTCTGCCTGCCTCTTCCCATCAGACTCCATTCCCGCATTCCCCTGCCGGTGTTCTCTACCACAGCCAGACGCACTCGGGGGTCGCGACCTGGTTCCAGTCTGCACCAAGTCCATCCCCACCATCAGGGGCCCTGGTGAATAGCAGGCTGAGACTTAGTCCCTGCGCCCTGAGGAAATCCGTGCTGTGGGCTGCTAGAGACACTTCCAGGCGGTTACTGACAGTACAAAACAGCCAGATGTCGGAGTCTGGAAGAGGACCATCCCCATTGGAGGACATATGCCAGCACCTGGCGGCACTAACCCAGGCAGTAAAGATGCTGCAGGAGGGGTATATGCACTTGGAGGGACGGTTTACAGACATTGACCGCGTCCGCTCCTGCACCCAAAGATTTGGGTCCTTCCTCGTCGGTCGAGAGTCTTCCAGAAACTCCTGCTGGAGCCGCGGCCTCTATGCCCGTACCGGAACCCCGGGTACCCACACCGGAACGGTTCAATGGGAACCGCACCAAGTTCAGGGCCTTCCGCAATGCCTGCCAACTTTACTTCAAACTGCAGCCGTGGACATTTTCCACAGAATCTGTGAAGGTGGGGTTCGTCATCTCGTTGCTACAGAACGAACCCCAGGCCTGGGCTCACCGGTTACTGGAGACCCATCAACCACAGCTAGAGTTGGTTTCAGCCTTCTTTGAATCAATGGCACTCCTCTACGATGACCCTCAGCAAACAGCCTCGGCCGAATCGGCCCTACAAACACTCAGACAGGGTCGCAGAGCGGCTGAGGAGTATGCGGCAGAGTTCAGGCGCTGGATGGGAGACACACAGTGGAACGACGTGGCCCTGTGCCACCAGTTCCGCATTGGTTTATCCGAGCCTCTGAAGGATGAACTAGCCAGGGTAGGCATACCAGCCACATTGGAAGACCTCATCACTCTGGCCATCCAAATTGATCGGCGGTTGCGGGAACGCAGAATGGAAAGATCCGGTCAGAGTCAGAGGCCTACATGGGTATTGCCCCGTGTGCCAGTGCAGACCACCTTGCCTACTGAGAACCGCTACCCGGAGACAGTGGACGCACCCGAACCCATGCAAGTGGGGTTAACCCGTCCTTCATTATCACCCGAGGAACGCCAGAGACGCCGGGTCCACAATCTATGCCTGTACTGTGGGGAAGCGAGTCACATGGTTCGTTCCTGCCCAGCAAAATCGGGTAAGTGTTCATCTGTTTTTTTTTTCTTCCACTGACATTAGTAGTTCTAGTTACTTAGCAGTACCAGTCTTGTTCCAGCTTCCCGGAAGGACCATATCAGCTACAACCATCATTGATTCCGGGGCCTGTAGCTGCTTTATTGATCTAGGGTTTGCGGCACAATATCAGATTCCCCTACAATCCAAGGAATGTGGATTGAATATCTTCCGGCTGACGGGTCTCGAAGCAAATCGGGAGTGGTAGTGATAGAGGTATGTCAAATTGCCGTTTGGTCTTTGTGCTCTGTTCCTGTTACCTGATCCTGTGTTACTCCGTTGCTGACCTCTGCATTGTACCTGACCCTGATTGTATCCTGCTTAACCCTTGGCTTGCCTGACCATTCTTCTGCCTGACCCTTTGTACCG